TGGGATTCCGGCAATACAAAAACGTGTAGTTCATGCACAGTTCGACTGGTCATGCAAGCCTCTCACTTTGTTGAGCTCAATGTCTCGGGACACGCACATCTTCACATCTCGCACTGCTTGCCCCCCCCCCCCCCAAGAGGCAAAGCTTCGCGTGCGGGCGTTTGTACGTGCCGTTCGCAGTTCGTACCAACACCGAGCGCACGACTCCATCATCACTTGGATGTTTTCTGTACAATACCCAGTGGCCAACAGGCCCGGGGGTTTTCATCTGCTGCCAACAGAACCACGTCATCGACAGCCATTTTGCGTGTGCCCTGCCATTTCTTTCTGGCGATGAGTGTCGACAGGTACTCTTTTAGCCATCAGCGCCATGCGTGATTCGCGATGCCTGGCTCTGCCTCCACCTCTTGCGCGAGATCTTGCCACTTTCTCCGTCCAAACACTCCTGGAGGCAGGACGCATCCGTCGGGCACCACTCCGACGGTGGTATTGAGTATTGAGTAGGTACATCATCAGGCACTACTACCTGGCTGCGAAGAACGGACTGAAGAGCCATCTCCACAGAAGAGGCGAGCCTCTCCCATGCTCCGCCCATTGGCTTGCGGAGCATGGGAGGTTGCGGTAGGGGATTTTGGACGGCCACTGTATGCTCCTTTGCCTGAGAAAGTCACTGATTTGCTCCTTATTCCATGCTGTGATGGCCTCACGGAGCTCTCTCTCTCGCCACCGACAATGTTCGTACCGTTATCGGCTGATAGGCGCTGCCCGGTCGCGATGCGCTATGAAGCGTCGCAGTGCCATCAAGAAAGCGCCCGTGTCCAGTGAGTTAGCCACCTCGAGGTGAATGACGCTCGTGGCCAGGCAGGTCACCAACATAATGTAACGCTTTTCAGTCTTCCTGTACTTCCTAACCAGGATCGCGATGCCCGAGGAAATTTAGGAAATCCACTTACAAAAACATGTATTGAGCATATCTCTCAAGTCGCTATCGTTAGACTCAGCCCAGGAAATCAACCTAATACCACAATGCCATGGTCTTCATACACGACCTCGGTGCCAATCCGGATGCTTATTTTGGCTATTTCGTGACGTCCTGCCCAATTATAAGTACATCCACATTTGCAAAGTAAAGAAGGCACATTACCTCATCTCTCGCCAGCTCTAGATAATAGGCAAGATGCCTGCGGTCATCCGCCGCCGCCTCTTCTGTCGCGTGGATGTTTGTGGGAGAGCTGGATATCTGCTACGGCGAAGTCTGTTGAGCATCTGCCGCGCAGTCGCCCACTCTTAAACGGCCACGGCCTCGCTCCTTGCGTTTCTTGCAATCGGTGCTTGGTTGGTTATTTCAGGGTCGTCCAGGACATCACGGCGCGTGGCCGCGACGTTTTCGCAAACCTAAGCGACTTAGAAACTGACGTGGCGCAGCGCTTCGGCTCTGGGACCACTTGATTAGCATTCAATAGCATATTTTACAGTTGGACAGCCACGGTAGGCGTCGGCCGCGTACAGATGCCGTTCACGCAGACTTTTATAACTCGGCTGATGCGCGGCTCCGACGGCTGCCCCGTCGCGGGCCGCGTACGCTCCGATGCTGCGCGCTCGGCAGGGCCTCCTGGGCGCACACCACTGCCAAATGGGTGGCGGCGCTAGCCACACGAGTGCCGCTAGCTAGTGGCGCGGCACGCCGCCGGGCCACCGCCACATAGTAGTAGCGCCTTACTACGTCATGTGCGATGGCAACAGCCAGCAGAGGCGTTTACGCCCAGTCTCGTTGCTCTGTGCAACTCGCCACCTGAGGAACACCAAAAAGGTACCGCACGTAGCGCATCCGCACAAATGCGAACAGAGCCCCCACAAACAATGCAAACACTCATGCGGTACTACAAACAGAAACTCGGGCCAACCCGGCCGGGAGGACACGTCACATACAGGGTGTCTCAAAAGTTCGCTTACAGGTGCCAGCCATGCTTTTTTGTCAATAATTCTGAATCAACATGAAATTAACAGTCGAAATTTTGCATGGGCATTGGTAACAACCTTCCTCAAGCAGCTTCATTGTTTTCAAGCGCATTCGACCCTTCATGAGCACACAAAAAGGGTTCACCTCTGACCATGGATCAGGCATGAAAATGGAGGTCGCATACTCGGGTCGGCTGAGAAACTCTCTGCTTCACGAGTAATGGGAATGGTTAGGTCGGAAATGACACATGGCAAAGTGTCGGCGAGGATGAGTACAACATGACGGTCATCAAATAAAAATGGTGGCTAAAATTTTTGAAGGACAAAACCATGCGAGACTAACAGCGCTTTGAACGACCCTTGTACCGCAGCAGACTCGTGCTCCGGAAAGCAGCTGAAAATGCAGTCCTAACTATTGAAAACTGACTAGAAGCTAACAGACAGAGGTTACCCAGTTTCAAAAATTGCAGGTCATCATAAAATAAAGACAAAGTGTCATTTAAAATTGTTTATAATATCTATAACGCTAAATTTTGAGGGAAAATAATGCGAAAATCGTCAATGCCGAGGACAAGTGACCCTCCAAAAGTGTCAATTAATGTAAAGTTTTATCTAACGAAGTTTCAAGAGGGCCGGGAGGCAGATCTGGAGCAAATAGCTTTCTTTTACACACAAAATCCGGACAAAACCGCACGATGGACAGGTTTTGGCCGTTTACAAAGCAGAGCCTCTCCTGAGGAAAACACTCCGGAACCCAGCGAAGGTCTTGGCATTGGGAATGATGAGCGTTCGGGATTTGCAAATTTTGCAAAATGTGTCTAAGAAACAGATGGCCGACACATTCTGCTACGATATGCTGCGAAAAATTTGCCCCTGGCACTTCCCATTTGTTCAGGAATGGGGTTGTTTTGAAAAGGAAAATGGTGCTTGGGAGGTCGGCGCCAGTCATTCATGAAGGAGTTAGCGCCAGAGAAGACCTACAAAATACTCACGGATGGTGTCGATGCAAGCTATCGGCTTTCAGGGAGAAGCGGATGTTGCCGGGGAGCTCGTCAAACCTAAATCCGACGCAGAAACTGCGGGGGATTCCCCTACAAGAGCTTGAAAGCTGGTAACCTTTTATCAGCCTCCGGCAGCTGACGGAGTGACGAAAATCGGTATGCGCAAATATTTTTGGAGATACAGCAAAGGGTTTGGTTTCCAACCTTCCGAATCAGTTGTCAAAGCATGCATATTTGTCTAGTGTACACACGGACACCAAAACCTTAGATTTTTGGCCGGTTCTTATATGCTTTATTGACATGGGAAATGTGTAAGCGAACTTTTGAGACACCCTGTACATGTTAACGTTCATTGCTGCCTTGTGCGCGAGCGCCGCCCTTTTCTTGAGCGGCGACAAGCGCCGACCTAAACCTGCCCTCCACGATTATCGGCGAGCAGGCGTCGAGCAGTGGCTTGTTCCGCCCCATCAGTTGTAGATGGACGTACATCGTGACTGACATACCTTTCCCTGTGAGGCGCCGGGCTTCTTGGTGAATGAATAACTCCATTGTATGACTCAGTGGTACCCGAGCCCGAGTCATAGCCCCGCCGAACTGGTAACCGTGTTCTCTTCCCCTTCCACCTCATAACTGATGTCACCATCTCCCTCCCCATTGCCCCATACATGATCAGTTCAGTTCAGTTTAGTTTTATTTCCTCTGGCCTGCCGCGGTTGGCGATTTCGGTGGAGTTGTCTTGTCTTGTTGACGGCGAAGAACACTTTCAAATGGGTCCATTTGTGTTGGGCGCGTTGGGGTGGTCTCGGAATGCGTAACTGTAGCAACACGAACAACAGGTCTTTTTCTTTCTTCTTCTTCTTCTTTTGTGGGCACACTGCGCCGCCCCCGCCCCACAGGCCGGCCCGTCGTTTAAGGATGATGGTGTTTTGCCCTGGGGGCGGGCGGCAGCTCTCGGTGCTGAAGTTAGACGCCGCCCGCCCCCCGGGCCGGTCTTTCTCTTCTTGATGCCCTGACCGGTCCGTAGGAAGGGAAGCAGCCCCCGACATCGGGAGCTGTGCTGTCCCCCGCCCCACAGGCCGGCCCGCCGTTCTTCTGCTGGTAGGTAGCCAGCCCGAGAGGCGGGCAGCTGCTCTGAAGTTGAAGATGGTGCCGCCCCTACCTCTCGGGCCAGCCTGTCGTTAGCGCCGTCAATCGCTGGAAGTGTTTTTTTATATTTTATCCTTTGTTTATAAATCATAAGTTATAACACCGACCGTTTCCAAAGCATTGTTCTTGTTATTGGCAGTGTATGCCCGGAACGCTGTCTCAGGGCGGTGAGCCCTATGGTTAGCCACTTGCTGTTCTGTGTCGCTCAGACGGCTGTACACAACCGAGCCCATCGACCTGCGCATCACAGTGAGATTGAACAGGCGCACACCGAACTCCGAACACACGGCCGACACATCCTCTTATACCCTCGCCGAAGGGAAAAGCGCGTCGTCGTTTGGGTCCTTCTGTAGGAGAGGTTGTAAGTCATCGACATAGGTGCACAGGCATTCGAGCTGTTACTAGGCTCAGCGATCCGTACGAAGCTCTAGACTTGTGCTCTGATCACGCCTATTATGGCATCGGACATCGGATTGTACTCTTACATTGTTGCATTCGAGAAAGCTTCGGACCCGGCTGAAAATTTTGGCACAAGATCGATACCGTTAGCCGGAGGCTGACATCTTTACTTCGCTGCCTCTGTTTTTTTATCACTGTTTCGGACACCTTTGCTAGCTCCTGGAAGCTCCTGGAGAATTACTCTACTCTCAGAAGCCCTCTTAACTCCTCCCATGATGGGAGGTACGTTTCCTCCCCATCGTGTCCGGAATTTCTGCGTCGCGGTGTAGCTCCATGGATGACGGGTCATTTTCGGCGGATCGACCTGCGTGCCACTCTTATGCTACATAAGCCAATCCATCGCTGGCACGCTGCCACATGGAACTTAGACAATATAAAGTGCCTTGGCACGCTGCTTCTTAAGAATGGCACGCTGTTACTTTGGACTTGTAAAGACAAGGATAAAAAAACGTTTATTCTATATCACAGTGCATATCACAGCATTGTAAAATTGCACAAAATTAGGTAGAGATACCGATTGTACTGATTAGAATGCAGCAGGCCGAGCGACGACCTCCTTGTTTGCGTCAGCCCGCAGGAACTGAAAAGATAAGAAGCGAAAATTTATGAACATCGGGAAAAAAGTATATTTGAACGTTTGTACGATTGAAAAATGGGTAGCAAAGTAAGCGCATGATATAAAAACTCTTTCAGAGGTATTTAAAAGCAGTAATTGGTCACACTTCTGATCAACTTAATTTGGTAGAAAGTAGCATTGTTAAAGATAAATCTACCAACCTCAGCCAACGTCCTCGGGAAGTGACGAGTGAAGTGTCGGCGGAAGTCCTGGATCTCCTCCGAGCACTCCGGGCACCGGTATACGTGTCGCTTCGGAGCGCTCGGGGGCCGCTGCGCCTGCCTCAGGGTGCGGATAGCGCCGGCGACGTCCTGTATCTGTGAAGAAAGAGTACTCTTATTGCTGCTTTCAAATTCATCTTCAAAAGGACGAATACATGGATGCATTTGTGCATGCATTACGAAACACATTGAAGATGCAAAATCCTTCTTAAATGCATTTGTTTGGGAACAGATCAGCGATTGAGCTAAAGAAGCCGTATTGTGATTGCGTATTTGATAAGGCGCATCATTTTTGTATATGGTGAAATTGGCATACGTTTAAGCGAGATGTAAATCAAAGACTTGATATGAAAATAAATACATAATACTTACATCTTTGTTGCAGGCCCGGAGGTGTTTGTGCAGGTCGTAGTATTGGGAGTTTGGACGCGTCGGCGGGTCGCCGGCGCGGGCCCTTTTTCTGGGGCCGGCCGACCCGTGCCCGACTAATGGCCCATCTTGTATTCTCCTGGAGGGACCCGGGCTGCTCCCGCTGCCCCTCCTGCTGTTCGGGCTCCTCCTGTTGCCGCTCGGGGGCTCCGGCTCGTCCTCCTGCTCCTGCTCCTCTGGTAGCAGGTCCTCTAGCGCTAGGGGCGAGAAGGGCAGGCCTGAATTTTTTTTGTTTGTTAAAAAATGCTAGAAGAATTAAATCATATGTACTCAAGTCATACATATTCGTCTCATCCTGAGTTAGTCTGTCGTTAAGTAGCAGCGTGCCACCTTAAGTAACAGCGTGCCATCACCCACAAGGTGACATACTGGTAAATGACCATGTGGTAAGAACAAATAACCTACTGGTAAATTGGCTTATTGGTTAGAAAGTGGTGAATTTTTGTATTAAACTAGAATATGGTAGTAAATATGGTAGGAAATGACAATAGTCCTTTTCGTGCTATTTTTCGCGGCAATATTAGGATGTTGGGCGACCACCAATATCTAGCCTGCGATATTGCCGCGAAAATTTTTCAAAACAGATATAACTGGCAAGTCCTTCTGGCAAGCGCTTCTGTTGCTGCAGGGATATGATTTTCTCCGCTTGCCCTGTGTAGTGGGCCTCCGCCTCCTGCTCCGAGAGCTGCAGTGATCGGCGCCACCCGCCGAGGCGCTCTTTGATGTTCTGCGAACGAAACACGATTCATGAAACAAGTAGCATGCAACCAGCAGCAAAGACCGCTGAGGAACACAAGCAATCAAATCGTTTATTATCAAACTGACACGCCGATCAGGGTGGACCATCGCTGCGCATCGAAGCCGAGTGCCAGGGCGTCGGTGAAGAGATAGTCGATGAAATCACCAACAGCTCGGATATGGCCGCGCAGCGTGGCGGACCGGAGCTTGCCGCTGTTCTTTTGTGTTAGGATCCTTCCCCCCCCCCCTGTTCCTCACAGGGCAGGATCGGACTCGTGAGGGCCCGCAGCAGGTCTTTGGCCACGGTGCTCTCCAGGTGTTTGTCAACGATGGCGGGAACCCAGAGTCGCACCTGCGGACATAACAAGAATATTGTGAAGTTTTTTCTCTTAATATACTCTAGTCATACAAGAACTAGCTAGATAACAGCTCAAGCAAGACCAGGTATTTATTTGTTTGTCAATATCCAGCGTTCTACGCTTTTGGTGGAACTCACCGCTCTGAGTCGCCGTTGGGTGGTGGTCTCCCCCCCGCTAGCCACCGGGCACGCCCCGCAGATATGTTGTGTAGCGCTGGAGGATCGCCACCGTGTTAGGAGGGCGGCCGTCATCCACCTCTGCCGGCTCCTCCACGCGCGTACAGTTGTCGTAGGCCTCCTGGAACTATCGGTAGTACCTAAGTAGTCGGCGCGCCCTAAAGCCCCAATTAACAAACAAACAAACGGTAGGTTTGTATTAACAAACAAACAAACAAACTCATGATACTAAGCACCCCTTATCAAGATATTTACCAACAATAGGATCATATTACACATCGCTGTCGTTAATATCTGATAAACAAGAAAGTATCACTTAACCCTCGCACGACCAGGCCATTTCTCATAACACGAACGACCAGGGGGGGGGGGTTGTTACGACCCCCCCCTGGCGTTTCGAAACGGAAGGTCGTAGAGCTTAGCGGAAAAAACCAACGGATTGCTCTCAACGAGATCTCGCGATTGGTGGTATATTTTTTGGTCCTAGGTCAACATTTGACCTACTTTTGACCGGTCAAAGGTCAAATTTTCGGAAAAATAGACTTTTTTCAACTTTCGGCGGCGATTGCGGCAAAACGGTGGGAGATATCGACTTGAAACCTTCACTATCGTGTTCCTTGATCAATTCTCTATCGTTTGGTATGTATTTCGTTTCCCTAGCTCTAAAAATGGCGCGTTGGGAGCGCCGGAAGTCGGCAAGGTCACAGTCGGCGGCAGAAATTCGAAAAATCAAAATTTAAATTTTTGAAATCTGATTGTATTTTTGGATTTGGGAGGTCCATTTGCTCCCTATAGAAGCTAATATTGCTGCATATTCCCATTGAGGTGACAAGAATTAGCAAAATAGTGGTTCGGGCGCTTTTCAAAAATAGTACCGGACGCTGTTCCTCTTGTGACGTCATAGCTCCGTGACCTGACCTGACCCGGTCAAATTTCTTATACCATATGATAGCCAATACTTGCCCCAACATGCATGGGAAGTTTCATCACGATCCATCAACCGATGTCCGTACCACCGGCAGGAAACCTCGGGCGTTGGCACTCAGTTTGTGAAAATCCGGCCGGAGGCTGTACCTCTTATGACGTCATAACTCCGTGACCTGACATGACCCGATCAATTTTTTTTCGGCAAAAGATGCGCAAAGGTTGCCCCAGAGGGTATTGAAAATTTCAGCCCGCTACGACAAGCCGTTTAGCGTGCACTTCGAAAAAACCTCAGGGGGGGGGGGGTTGATACAACCCCCCCCCCTAGGCGTTCTAGGGTTAAGGCTGAAACAGACTCGTTCCGCGTTCAGGAAATCGATAGGCTCTCGCATGTGATTTCCTGACTGCGGAAAGAGTCTGTTTCAGGCTTTACATCGCGGCAGCTCCGACTCTCGAAGTGTCGGTCTAGGTGAGCAGGGACGTCTACGACAGTGGCGTAGCAGCCCTCAGCTCCACATCGCCAGCGCGGTCGGTTCCGTGGCTGAGGCGGTCTGTAGGTCATCAGCCGATTACGAGCAGTTCGCGCCGAGCTGAGCGTCGGCGGCAGCTCCGTTGGTGGAGGCGGAAGTCGCTCGGTGTCCTTTGCCAGCTCCGTCTGAAACAAGAGAATGATGGATTTATGTTAACAAATATATTGCACTGAGATGATTTTCCTACCCAACATATAAAATCACTTTATTATCCAGAGAAATGGTAACATTTGTGAAGTTTTAACAACAGCACAGATGCCAACAGATACAAAACGCTGAAACGGACAACTAAGAACCCTTTTCCTTCGTTTCTTACATCCAGGAAGTGCTGCTGCATCCTCAGCGGCACGATCCTCTCCGCTTGGCCGAGGAAGTGGGCCTCCGCCTCCTGCTCGGTTCCAGAGAGATCGGCGCCAGCCGGCCAGGCGCTCCTTCATGGTCTGCGAACGGAAACACGAGTCATCAAAGAGGCATAGCATGTAACTAATGTCAAGGTTACGCATGTCAAGGGTACACAAACAATCAAACCGTATACTATCATACTGACCTACGCTGACCAGTGGCGACCACCGCTGAAGGTCGAAGCCGACAGCCACAGAGTCGGTGAACAGGTAATCGACAAAGTCGGTTACCTGTTCAGATTTTGGGCTTCCATCAATATAGGCTTGCCCCACGCGTCGCCCGGCGACTCCCCGAGACTCGTAAAGTAATCTCGGATCCTTTCACGCCAGATGTTGCTCGGCGATCTAGATGCCGAGTCCCTGACAGGTATGTCTCCCGACGGAGGCTCCGCGGCTGGACTCGCGTTTGCCTCGTTTTGGGGCTGCTCCGAGGAGTGTGCCTCATCGCTTATTTGGGGCTGCCCTTGCGGGTGTGCCACGTCACAGATCGGTGGTGGGTGCGGCCACCCCGAGCCAGCGGGGCGGCGCGGCGTCAGTCGTAATCGGTTGGCGAGCTTGATGGTCCGGCGAGGACGGCGCGGCGGCGGCCCCGGCGGTAGGTGGACTTGAATCGCCTGCGTCCGGCAGGAGGGAGGCCAGGATCCTCTTCAGTTGTTCGTCGCTGTCCCTTGATGGCCTCCACGCTCCTGCCGGGCATCACCTCCGCCAGGGCCAGGTTCAGGTTCTTGGTTCCCTGCCGCACCATTCCCGCCTCTCGCATCGCCATTAGATGACGCTCTTCGGGGTCCCACCTCGCCTTCTCGAGCGCCGCCCGGTCTTCGACGACGCCTCGGTGGAACTCGGCGAGGTGGGCCCGGCGTTGGTGTAGTCTGCGGCCGGCGAAGGTGGTAAATCGCCGGCCGCAGTCGGGACACACTGTCTGGTCAGGTGCAGGGTCGCCGGCTGGGGCCGAGGTCCTCGCCGACCCCCCCCCCCCCCCCCTGCGCCCTCCGCCCTGGTTTCCTGTGGTTGGCGTCTCGCGCCGCCATTTCCACTCTTGCTTGGTTTGTGTTTCGGGCCACAGTATGCTTCGCCGGCGCGGGCTGGCGACCCACGCCGGCTAGCGGTTACCCCCAGCTCTCGGCCGGACCGCTTGGTCACAGCCCCACAGGCCGTTGCCCGGGCTGCGCCACGAGGAGGCGGCTGGTAGGGACTTGGGACGGCCGAGATAGCGGTTGGCCACCCCTTCGCAGCCCATTTTTTTTTTACACTCACTCGGGACCCATCGGTGGTCCTGGACACTGTGTTCTGCGTCCCTCTTTCATTCCTGCCATCGTCCGTCCTTCAGTGGGGAACGGCCTCCCCGGTTCTCCCCGTTATTTGACACCCTGGGGGTGACAGGTGCCAGTCCTCGGGATCCACTTCACATCAGGGGGGTCTCCCCGTCATCCTACGGGTACGCCTCCCCAGGCCCGAGGCCACCTATGCGGTTGACTTGCGGAACCACTGGTAGATCCGGTCTGTGCCCTGCACAGCTCGCAGGCTGATGTTTGCCAGTTG